TATCTCTACTAGGGTCAAGTCAGCCCTGATGGAGTTTTACTGACACACTCCTGCAGGTTCCTATTGGACCAGGAAGTAGGAACATTCCTATCAGGTAAGCTACCAATCACATGGATCAGCCAAAAACATGTCTATGTTATGATGAGTGCTGCTGGCACATGATCTGGAATAAAAGAAACAATAACATCTACTTAATTTAGAAAAAACATACTTTGACACACTGTTTCAAGAAAAGTATTCAAAAAGACTCGCAGGACGATCGGTGTGTTTGTTTCTGACCACCATTGCTGACAACCCATGTTTTAGAACTGAAGAAGCTTCTTGGGTGAGAAGTAAAATAGACACATTTTCGTTGTTGGAGCTTCAGGGTAAATTCTGGGAGGGGAAATTGACCGGGAGATACGATGGCCCGGTCCTCTCAGTCTCCATTAAAAAAAATCAGCCATTTCAGGACTTGGCACAGACATCAGCATATCGAGACTGCTTCAGCAGCGAGTGATGCCACTGATCAGCACAAATAAATGGCCACAGTAACATTAAAAGGTCTATTCTGTCAAAGTCAGGCAACTTAATGCATTGTGAGGACAGAGATCTGCTGTGAGTGGCGTTCAGTGACCAAGAGAGGCGCCGTGCTCGGAGACAACAAACCCCCATGTATGACGTCTTTGTGGGGGGATTTCCGCTGTGTAACACCTGCCAAGAGCCCAGTTATTTGTTTCCTGTTTTACTTTGACATCCTCCTCTCTCCTCTGTGTCACTTCCTGTCCTTCGTTAACCAGAATCATCTCAGCTGTGTTGACTTGTATTGAACCTCTCTCTGTTCTTCTTTCAGTTGCCAGTTCGTTGTTGTCTTCTAGCACTTCGTTCCAGCCGTGATAGTGCTTGGGCTCATTATCTTTCACTTTGTTTTGGTTCATTCGTCTCTGCCCTGTTGCCAGCTTACTTGGATTTGTTGGAATTTTATGCCTGTTTTTGACCTCTGCCTTAATAAAGGACAATTGCTTTTTATCTCCTCGTTTTCGAGCCATGCTTTTGGGTCCAGTTCTCTATACCTGACACCGCTGTATTTCTTGGTCTTGGGAGTTTAGTTACAGCTATTTAAGCTGCATGAAATGTGCTTATTTACTTGTGTTTCCAATCTGCTTCGCAAGAATCTCTTCTAATTTTACTAATGCAGACATTTTTGGATGTCTGCTGATGTCATTTCCTACTGAATTCCAACCAGTCAGGGTGAGTTGACAAAACGTTCCGTTCAGCCACTCTACTGGGCCTTTCCGTGTACCTAGCCCGTTCAGGTACTCCCTTGGTTCCTGAAAATGGGCTGGTCAGCCAGCCTGATGAAGTGGAGACATATGCGTATGCCAGGAAGTTCCGGTAAACTTATTCTGGATTAGAAACACGCCTAATGTCTTCCAGATAACCAGAAAAATCCAGTAGTTTTCATTTACTACTCAAAAACGACTTCCACATACACAACAATGGGATTTGGGGCGACGGTGGCACAGGAGTTAAGTGCTCGCCCCGTAATCGGAAGGTTGCAGGTTCAAGCCCCGCTCAGTCTGTCGTTGTGTCCTTGGGCAAGACACTTAACCCACGTTGCCTGCTGGTGGTGGTCGGAGGGACTGGTGGCGCCAGTGCTCGGCAGCCTCGCCTCTGTCAGTGCGCCCCAGGGCAGCTGTGGCTACATAGTAGCTCATCACCATCAGTGTGTGAATGTGTGTGTGAATGGGTGAATGACTGATTGTGTTGTAAAGCGCCTTGGGGGGTTCCAGGACTCTAGAAGGTGCTATATCAAGTACAGGCCATTTACCATTTACCATTTTACCATAAGATGATCGTGTTTTGGATGATTGAGAATCTACACTAGCGTGTTGCAGCAATGTCCTCAGAAAAAAACACTATACCAAGAGTACTCCTGGCTCATGTCAGCGCTATATCAGTCATAGTTTCGCCCAGACTGGTTAAACGCGGGATGACACTCGTTCCAACCACCGCAATGAGCATCTCCGCCCTGCTGTGAGACCCAGGGAGTTTCTCTGTGTTCAGAGCCAGAGAACAACTGACTTTCAAAGCAAAAATAATAAAACGTGGTGACTTTTTTCAGCCTTAACTACAGTAATAACTAACTTTTAAGTAAGTTTATCTGTGTTCTGTTTGCGGTACCAATAGATGTCCTTAATTCCACTTTAATGGGAACGCAACAACTGTGTCACAATTCCATCTTTTAGATCTTTTTAAAACACAGAAAGGTTTTATTTACCCGCAACGTTTCGTTTGCGGCTGCATGCAGTGTAATAAGAACTAAAAGATGGAATTAGAATTTCAACACAGATGTTTAAAGATAAAACCGTGTCATAAGTTATTCTAATGAAGGTCAGCACTATTTATTTTTCATCTTTCTTCTGCAGACCAATTGTACTAAAATGTGCCAGCTCCAGGCTCAGCCTGGCTCGCCCTTTCAAGATGTCTCCACACGTCATAAGCTTCCTCGGCTGCTATAAAGACAATCACTGCGCTGTGGGATTACTTACAATTAAATCCTAAAGTTGAGCCACTGAGAAGATTTTCTCTTGCCATTTTCCCCCATGCAGCTCACTGGATCTGCTCTGCTTTGTGATTCCACCCTGAACAGGCGGATGTGACCTTGACGGACTAAAGCGGCGAGTCAACATCAGGATGCAGACGTTGGCATCCAGTCCGCCGCAGATGTATCTGTATCTGTCTACAATCGTTACTTAATAGAACTGCAGCAGCAGGTTGGAGCCACAGGGTCTCCACAAAGCTGACAGTGGGTGCCATTTTTGGTGTGAATTGTCCTAATGGGACAAGGCCCATTCCTGCCTCACTATATGATGGCACGGCCCAATAGGTGGCGGCTTCAGAGGGATGTCCAGCAGCTCCCCTGAATGCCTGTGACTCATTTATATTGGCAGAGCTGGATGGATTATTCCAATTAGCTCCAAAAACAGAAAAAAACAAAGTCCCACGCTGGGGCTGTCACAGAGAGACGGGGCAAAACCAAGAGCACCGCTGCTTTGAAGGTTAGCTGCTGTAAAGACATTATTTCATGTCTCTGCACAAAAACAAAGTCTGGCGAGCTAAATGTGTGATGGTAATAACAGAGGGAAGAGATCAGATTATTACAGAGCATCATTATTGTCTGCTTGTTCCCTTTAAGGCCATGTTTGGTGCCATTACATAAAACTGGAATAAATGTAATTAAGGTCCTACCAGGAGGAAATGTAAAGCGTAAGAATTAAATTACAGAAAATTAACACAAACAGTGATTCTGTTTAACACTATGACTCTGGGATCAAATTAGATGAATAAAAAAAACAAGTGAAAATAGTAGTTGTTGAGGGGACATTGGGAAGCAAAGAGAAGCCGATATCTAAATGAACGCTAACGAGCAGAATCCATTTCTGGGACTGATGGTCTTTCTAAGCAGGCAGTGAGGAGCGGTGTCGCAGGGCGGCGGGAAGCAGACGAACGGATGAAATAAACAGCCACTCATCTATTCCTGGTAATTGTGTTTCCACTTCTACTAGGACAGGCGGACCTTTCTTTTGCTCTTCAGGCAGTCGACGTGATAGGAGGAGGTTTTGGGTAGTTAAGTGAGGGATTAAACAGCTTGGTCTGTTCAGATGGCCGCTCACACCAACACCTCTCCACCCTTAGGTGCTCCTCTTCAAACAACCTGACACTCAAACTGGAAAATAATCACTTGGATCTAAAAAAATCATGTAAAAAAACATGAAACAGATATTAGTTAATGTCCCTTCACTCACAAATAGGCAGGTCTTAAATGTGAGCGCACTCTTAAAACAAGCTGATTGAGTCTGTTCTTGTTGCCCGAGGCCTCCGAAGGGCCGACCCCGTGGACTCCAGTCCAATTATTCCTCCCAGCAGACAACCTGGCAGACTGCTGCAGCCGGCCAGCATGGCACTGGTCATTCCTACAGGCTGTGGTGGACCTCAGTTTCTGATAAGCATGACCGTGACTGGCAGAAAACGGAACAAACTGATAGAGATGGCTGTTTCCGCTGCTCTGAGGACGACTGTGAAAGAAGGAAAGTAGTACACAGAGCAGCAAGCTGGACCGAGATGAACATCATTTATAGATAAACTATCGTCGACTTTACTGTAAGAAAACATCAACAGATTCTTCCTGCCAAAGGTAAAAATTCACACACGTCATGTGTTAGTCTGGTTTTTCATTCAAGTGTAAATAAAACAAAACAAATAGGCTTTCTGCTCATCAGTCTCTTGTTTCTTTAACTGTTTTAGTGTGTATCTCCTCCTGGATTCGTCCTTTGGTATGGTACACTGTACAAAAACAACTTCCACATACACAACAATGGGATTTGGGGGAAATTAGTGACTTAAACAATTGGGGCTCAGTTTCTATTGACAAGCTTGTGCTCCTGTGTGTTTGTGTCTCACAGGTGTGTGGTTACCACTGGCAGCAGCATTAACATTTCTGTTGATATACTAAACTGTCGTGTAGCTTGGTTCAATACTGAAGTAAATGTAAAACCTTTTATCTTTCTAACAGTGTAGATTTACAGGTAATCAGGTACTGTGATCACAAATTAGACAGAAGCATCTGAGACAAGCCAAGCAGGATGCTAGCTACATGTTTCTATTGCTGTAGTTTCTATTGACCTGAAGATAAGGAGAGACTCTTTTACCGTAACTAATTCGGACAGTTTCTGCTCCTGCTGGAGTTTCAGCAGGCAGAGTCAACCAGGTTCATGGTATACCAAGAGTAAACGTGATGAGACACAGTGTGTGTGGGTTAGGCTTTATAACTATTACTTTATTACAGCTTATAAAGATGGATATGGATTTATCATAGCAGGGTTGATCTTTGCAGGCTGTGTTTGCTTGAAATTTCTATCTAGTTGTTTTTTTTCCTTCTGGCAGCAAAGCTGAGCTACCTGGAAGGTATGGCTGTTTTGTTTTTTCATGCTTGACCTGATGTGGAGTTTAGGACTCACCTGCTCTAATATGGTATTGATCCTGTCCACCTCACAGTCTATCACAAAGAGCTTCTCCTGCCTCCTGTCCATCTCCTCGATGATGCGTCTGAACTCTGCTGCGTCTGTTGTGCTGCTGACGGAGCGAGCGGTCACCTGCCAGCTGTTCGCCACAGCCGCCTCCATGATGGCCTGCAGTATGGAGAAACCTACGGAGATGAAGAAAATAAAGACAATTAGAAAAGTGACAGTTTAGGGCAAAAACAGGGTGGTTCTGGAATATTCTGGAGAGGTTGATATTTGAATGCGTTGGTTAAAGGGCATTAGGAGGTCTGCAAACTCCATCTGTATTATCGTGGACGTTTTATGTGTGAGTACATTAATTCATATTTGCATATTGAAAAGGCAATATCATTGACATTAAAGGATATAAATTGCATCTCCATACTATTACTCCTGATGTTATTCAGTCTGACGTCAATTAGATTACAGCATTTAGCTCTGCCGCGCGTTAACTTTGGCGGCGCTGCTAAACATCTCTCGTCTGCTCTAGGATCATGGCGGTGCATTTAAAGATACAGACAATGAAAGATTCATTGGGCCAGCGTTGGAAAGAGATCATTATGCTACCAGAAGAATGGAGAAGGAGCCATTCCAATGATTAATTCACGCGTGGAATATTTTCATTTAACGGTACGCTCAGAAACACTGTGGTCGAATCACACACCACAGAATGAATAATGCAGCCCTATTTCTGGGGGGATGGATTGCGTGTAACACAAGCTGGAATAAAAATGACTTAACTCATCTCCAGTGTTGAACAAGTGAGAACGAACATGAAGGTTATTCATGGAAATCAAACACAGTGCTGGTGATTCATTAAACCAAGGACAAAGGAATTGCTAATTGAATGTCAAATAAGCTCCGTTTCTACACCTCCACTCGTTTTTCATCTTCAGTCATCTGGGTTGCTGATGCGTACAGAGGAATGGAGAAAAAAAGTGTAACAATACCCTATTTTGGTGGTTGTATTCACATTTTATAAAATAATAATTGATGTCCAAATAGCCTGTTACAGTCTGAAGGGCAGGGTAAGCATTTGCTGGTTTTAGTTGAACACTTTCCGTAAATCATCGGCATGAAGTCCAAAGAAACTATACCAAGAAAACGTTTGGCATTTTCTGTCCTTTTCAGGTGCTCCTCTGAGTTTGGAAAAGTATCACACACATTTCCTCACACAGCCACAACTCAACGAGGTGACCTTTTGCCGTGAGGCTGGATGAGAAGCGGGGGTCGGCATGCACCGCGTCATCTATCCAGAGCAGTAGTGGCACACTGCTTGAAGACCGCCCAACCTCAGGGTTCGGGGGAAATCCAGCTTTCAGGTTGCGTTTTATGAATTGATCTCATGTGACGCTCGCTGAAGATGTATATGGCTGCCCTTTCGGAGTTTTCACTGTTTAACAAAATCAAACATCTGTTCGCTAAACATCCCGTCCTAAATTTCACATTTAAATCCTCATCAGCATATAACAAAGATGGCTGACATGTCTCTGTCTCCTTTTGCTGTAAAAAAAAAGTGAAAGAAAATGACCCCATTCACATGTGTCTGCACTCTAACCCAGGCTTTCCACAGGAGCCGTCAGCAGCACGTTACTGCAGCAGCACGTCATAGCTGCTGATAGGAACCACTGTGGTCAACAGAACCTTTTCCACTAGAGCCGTCGGCAGCGCGAGTCGGCCGCGTCTCAGGAGCAGCATGTCGCGGCCCTTACGCGCCGGTTCTATTTTCTACGCGCAACGCTTCTGAAACGGGTCAAGTTCGACATTTTTGGGGAAGGAAAGACAGGAAATCGGACGCGGAAATGGAGAGAAGCTCCCGAGATTTTCAGAATAAAGAACGTACCGCCTTCCGGTTGCTTTACTTCTAAAAAAGGTTACTAACTGTGCGGCCCCGTGAGAAGTTATCACCTAGCTAGTGGTCTCCTTTGTTTTTCAGGTCCGTATTGGCGATTACAAAACGGACAGAACATAAAACACAAACCATGTTGTAATTTTCTCCTGCTTGTTGTTGTGTTTACTGACGAAGTCACTCGTGTGACTTCGTGCTCGGTCGGTGACAGCTGCTCCCCTGCTGCTTCGCGTCTCGTGGGAAGGGCCAAGCAGCAGTTTACGCGAGCGAGACGTGCTGCTGCAGTAACGTGCTGCTGACGGCTCCCGTGGAAACCCGGGGTAAGAGGCTGAAACCCCTACTGCTCTTCTGCACACACTCGTGGTGCATTTCAAACCTCAAAATAACAAATTACAACACAGAAGCCAGGAAGGAACTGCTGGGGTCAACTCCTGGAAATACAATTGTCAAAAGTGTATTTTAATGTTTTAGTTGTTGACATGGAGCAGACGGGGTTTAATACCTGCAGCCAGCCACTAGGGGGTGCTCTGGTGTGTTTCAACTTCAACTGTTGCATTAAGTTCTTCTAAACATGTTTTGTAAACGTTGGGTTTTACTTTCCGTTTGCGTGCGTTTATCTGGATTTCAGGGTTAGCAGCCCCAGCAGAGACACCCAAACTGTTCTCTCAGCTGCCTGCACCTGCTTCACCTGTGGGACCCCAAGGTCCTGGGTCATGCTGGAGATATATTCACTCCAGTGTGTCCTCAGCCAACCTGACCACGTGAGCTGGCTTCTCTCAATGTGGAGGAGCAGCACCTCTACTCCAAGCCTCCCCGGATGTCAGAGCTCCTCACCCTGTTTCTAAGGCTTAGCCTGACCACCCGCAGGAATGAGTTCAGTTTATTGGGGGGGGGGGGGGGGGCACAGGCCTGGCGCTGGGGGCTAACATATCTACCAACGGTGTTTAAGCAAGGGGGGTGGCAGGGGTGTAGTGCCTGATAGGTTGATGTAATCTCCATTTTTTCAAATCTTTTAGTTTTGTGGTGCAAACAATGTAACAATAATAATAATGATTTCCCATATATGAGTGTCGGAGCGCAGCTCTGTCGTGTCAGTCAGTGAATTATTGGGCTTCTTTTATTTTGAAACTGCTGATTTGTGCAGCATCTGTCTTCTTCTACCGCCTCCAGGCAGTGCAGAACTGCTCAGGAACAATTGGATTCATTTAAGATTCACAGAAGATTCCATGCCTGCCTAGTTTTACATTTGTATGGAAATGAAGAGATGGAATCTGGTGGCGGTAAACAGTCTGTCCAGAAAAGGACTATTTTTGCTCCAGTTTTTTTTTCTTTTCTTTATTTCCACAAAAGTCAGCAGAAAGTTTTACGTTTCATTATTTAGGCATAAAAAAAACAAGAAAAAGATTTTCAGTTGAAATAATTTATCTGACAGCAACAATAAAACTAAAAGCTCCTTTTTCTGTGCCGAATAGCAGTAAAACTAATAAATCATTTAGCTTCTCTGTGGGGGCTTAAATCTGTCCGTCACCTCTCTTGGACGCAAATAACTTCAACCGATCGATAATTTCATCCTCCTAAACAGCACTGGAAGCCCACATAAATGTTCTTGATAGTGATATTTATTTCCATCGTAGAAAAAAAAGCGATAAATGTGATGCACCTCTTGGCCAACTGGATCCTTACAGCTGAGCAGCATCCGAAAATCTAATACAGTCGACAAAAATGAAACATAAATTATAGAAGTCAACAACACGGTTTCGTCATCACCTCCTTCTGCTGCATTACAAACACAGCAGCTGCGTCTGCTGATCAAGCTTCTCAGGACTAATAACGCCACAGAGGCACCATTACATTGAAGTTACAACACACACACTCACTCACACACACGCTACACTTCATTTTTGCCTCTCAGTGTAATAGTTCTAAGTGAAACATTCCCGTTAAAAACCTGTTTTGTCGTCTTACACTGTCCCAAACAGGAACGCGATGTCATGTTGACCTCCACTTAGGGTTAATTCTTCTCTCTCGATACCTGATAAAGTGCATTCATGTTCCTGCTAGCTGGCGTTGCCAGGTTACGGTGCCAAGCAGAGGTTGGAGCTAATGCTTTAGATTCTGTTAGAAAAACAAAACGTGCTGGAAAGGATGCTCTGGGATCATCTGTAGTTTAACTTCGCAGAAGCACAGACTAACCTTTCTTTGTTTTAGGAACATGTTTTAAATGGGTTAGGGTTAGGAAAGTCACAAACAATTTCATTAATCAGTTGATTCACAGACAAAGATCTAAATTGTTACCAGCTGACTGACAGTCCTCCTCAACATAAAACTCCTGGTTTGGCTGCTTCTTCGTGTGAATCGTTTTATGAGGCTAATTGATTTTTGAAAACACTTTTGCGGTTGAGTGGTGCAGCAAAGTGGGCTGGAGGGCTCCGAAAGGGGAGATTTAAACAGTGTGGAAGTCAAGGGTCTCACAATGCTGTTCCCTGTGGATGGATCCAGATTGGGTCTAAGATCCTCCTAAAAGGAGGTAATGACCCTAAAAAAGTCATATTTAAAGAAAAAGCCAGAGTTGTGGAGTGGCCAGGACAGTCTCTAGATCTGAACCCTGAGTAGACTGATGGATGATACAGAGGAAGACTTCATCTAGGAAATGCTCCTGAAAGGAAGGGGTGAAACGGCATTAGATTATCTTAAATCCAGAGGTCTAAATAATCAGAATTTTCATTCAAATCCTTACTTCTAACTCTAACATCTCTATGTCCTGTTCATATAGTCTATTTCATGTGTGTTTCCATGGCAAACAAGAACACGTTACCCCAAACTTCTGAGTGGGGGTGTAATATCAAACCCAGGAGGGAATCAGAGACGATACGGAGAGCTGAGAGGGGAGAGGGAGTGTCAGGGCCAAAGGGGGAATTAAAGGCAGAAGGACTTTGTTGGACATCAACAGCCAATTTTAACTTTTAGAATATGCGAGGGGCTATTTTCACGCCTGAATGGGGTGTTAAGTTCCTTCTTGATCTCCAAACACCCTCTTGAAACAACCACACAGTTTGTAGAGCAGAGTATAAACAGCTGAAATGGATGAAAACTCAATTATTTCTGCTCTTTCTAGCTATCAAATCCAGATGGAGCCTAAAGACACCCTGTGTGCTTGTTAATCAGAGCTGTTGCGAATGAGATGCTGTGGCAGCGTAGCGTACGGCGGCTGAGCAAGAGCTGCAGTCCTCCCCTCTTGGTCTCTGAACCGGGTTCTTAACAGGATGAGTTTTGAAGCATCACCCGTGGCGGCTCAGC